GGGCAGAGAGCTTTCTGTCTTCTCCCATCTCTTCTCGAAAAGGGTCCCTGATCCCTTCGAATTCAATTTTACCTTGAATCTTCTGGAGGGCGTGGTCAATATCAGTCCCTATCCGAGAGCTGACAGGACAGAAAGTCACGATGGCGTCACACTCCTGCAGGGGGCACTCTTTAAAATTAATCTGATTTCCCAGTTTCTCCTTGAACATCCCGTCAGCTCCCAGGGTAACTCCAGCAGCCAGGAAGTGGATATTGACTGGGCAGATACAAAAACAACAGACATACAGTGGAGTCAGTGCCAGCAGACTTGTGATCTGCAACATCATCTGAAGATTTCAAGTTTCAGTACTCAAGCATTTTAATTAAAAAAAACATCCTGGGTCACTGGAAATTAGTTTCACTGGGAATCATCCCCCTGAAACACACATATCCCACCGCTGACACCATCAAATTACCGCAACTGAACATCCGCTTCCAATGAGTAAGTCTCAGCGCGCTCCTGCCCCTCACTGAGAGCAGCAGTAGGATGAAGATGTTGTTGAGGTTCAGACGAATCGGAAGGACGTGATGCCTGCCTGCTCCTACTGCCCAGCTGCGCAGCTGCATCTAGCCTGCCTGCTCCTACTGCCCAGCTGCGCAGCTGCGTCTAGCCTGCCTGCTCCTACTGCCCAGCTGTGCCTCTATCCCTCTGCATGAAGATCCCTCCTCGAACCCGTACCGCTGTCCCCTTCAGGTTAGTTCACCTAAGGATTTTAATTGTGGATTGAAACATGAGCACTGTGACCAGGGTCACGGCCTCAGTTTAACAGAACCGGACCAAGAAACTGGACCCAGGACCCGGACCTCAGTCTCCACAGGAGAACAGACGGGTTCCAGCTGTGAGGTCAGCAGCTCCAGCTGTGTGCAGAGGCACGGTGTGGACTCACCTGCTGCTCTGGATGTCTGGAGGAGGGAGGAGAAGGAGGAGATGGAGGAGAAGAAGGAGGGGAGCCGTGATCCAGAGTCTGGAAGAGACAGTGAGGGGTGTGAACAGAGAGGAGTGTCAATCCTGTTCTCACTGGTACAGACAGACTGCAGGTCAATAATAACTGAACTATCAGGACAGTGATCTACAGCACACTGTATCTACCCCAGATCTACACATGGACACACACCGCTACAGGAAT